GGAGGGGCCTAGCAGGCGGTTGCTGTAGGTTCGCTCTGTGGCTTGTTCAGAAAAGCAGTCGGCTCCCCGTTCGGTGCTCTTTGCCCATCGGCGGTTCTTCGTCGAGTATCGCTTGTATTACTTGCCAAAGGAGACGCGGGGACAGCGAATTTTCTGCTACTGTAACCTGATTTTACATTAACTTTTAATTCAAACTAATTTAATAAACGTCAGCCGTTTGGAAGGAAAGAGATGTCCTTTCACCTGACTCGGGGAATTAAGGGGCGAAAGTTCTGGGTTAAAGCCATTAAAATGATAAATAATAATATAAAGAATATCAATATAAATACTATACAAGATACAGTTTACATACACAAATAATATAGGTAACATTGATATAAATGATATCAATATAAATATTATTCGTTTTGACATAAAATTAACTTAATCCCATACTAACTAAGGTAAGTGGCTAAAGACTCACCAGGTTCACCAAGTAATTGTGCGGCGTTTGATCTTGCTTGGTATTTCGCAGTTCTGGGTTTTAATGAAAGACCCATAAACCCTATGTGGATATTATAGGATTTTCCCCCTTTAGTTTAACTTGTATGCAGGCATATTAATTTAGTTTTGATTCCACCCTTAAAAACAAGGAGCAAATAATGTTCATCATAGGCAAGAAAGGTTGTTACTTCCAGTGGAGCAGGGAGAAGGAGCAGGTTGAAGGAATTCTCCCCTTTGCTGTACCCTGAGCCCCACTGAAATGGGCAGATGTTTCCCTCTTGACTTCAGTGGCCAGGCCCCACGGGAGCGGAAGGTGGCCCTGCTTTCCTTCCCCACCTAGGAATGACTGTTTTTAAAGCAGATGATATTATATGAATTATATGTACATGCGAAAAAAAAGAGGACATGTTGCAATAAGATATTATAGTGTACTTTATTCTCATTGTTTTTTCCTTTCTCTATCAGTGAGGAGCGAATGTTACCCTTTGATAAACCCCTTCTGGCATGAGAATGCAAACATCACTGATTCACACAGACAGCTTTTGTGTGAGTAACTTGTCTATTATTTCTCTACTTCCATCCACCCTTCTCTCCCTCCTTGGCCACTTACAAGGTCCCATTTCTGATTCAGAGGGGGAGCTCTTTGAGATAGTGTTTTGACTCTGCTTCTGTACAGTATCTGTCACTGCATGTGGTCTTTAAGTGGGATTGCTGTTGAAATAACCATCTATTTGATGTCAAGTTCAGCTAATTTCTTCCACAGAAGCAAGGTATTTCTGCCTGGAATGGCTCAGGAAGGTACACAATTGTTAAAAGGCAAAAGTGTTCAAAATCCCCTCAAAAGAGTTTAATCACTGAAAATGCTTAAGCACACATTTAACATATGGGCTTGCTTTTTTTTTATTTTGTATTTACTTACCTCTCCTCTAACTCTGGCTGTTTTCCCCTTGCGAGCAGAATATATGCATTTGTCC